AGAAGGAAGACAAACCGCCAAACTAATATTCTCCGAATTTTGAATACAGTAATTTATTATCCGGTGATTTGAAATAAATGTACATTCGGGGACACTTCGCAAAAGATCTCGAATTTTCGTGGCACAGGCTGATGTCTCGTCTCTTTGAAGCATGGAAACCAGTTAGTGGCGCAAGGGTTACTGAGAGAATCAAAATGGCGGAGACCACTGCGCCTGGTATCGATATATCAATTTCTAGTATTTCGTTGTGAAAATATTGTTCTGGGCATTTGTAATGTGTCAGTTTGAAACTAGTGAAAGCTTGGAGGGTGTATTTCCTGGTGATCTGATCAACCGTGGTAAAAACCTTCTAAAAAATTCCATTCACTGTATAAACTGCCAGGGTCATTAAAGTTTTCTGGAGCCTGACAAGTAGTTGGTGAAATTTGACAGGAAGTGTTCTTACTAAGGAACTTAGCATGCGGTACTCATTATGGTATTGGAATATTTTGTGTGACTGAGGCAGGAGAGCAACAAATCGATTGGGTCCCTGAAAAGGACTGAGCAACGTTGGGAAGCCATGCCATTTGCTAAACTCCCATGCCTAAATTGACAGTGGAGATGCCAAAAATATGGCAGATGAGTCTTCCAAGATAATCATTTTATAATTTAGGAAGCATTGTAAAATAAATGCATGTAAATAAGCTAAATTAATTTTAATTTCCCTGTTGTTTGAATAATTTATTAAAAATATACAAACACTTCAAATTAAATCAAGATATCTTAAATCTAAAATTTTTGTGACTGTGAATATATTTTTATTAGTTTTGTTTGATTTTTTTTATTGTGATATCTTCACTAATATTAATGCTACCTTCCTGGTATTTATTGCTATGATTATTCTAATAGTAGTAACTATTCAGTGTTGTCGTATTTTTTTATTTAGTAGTACTTTTTTTAATGGTTTGAAATCTGGCCCGATTTGTTCAAAAGCCAGTTAACGCTAACCCAGGGTATATATTTTTTTGTATAGAAATCTATTTCACTGCTTATGGTTGTGTAGTTTTAAGATGAATCAAACTCAAAACTGAAAGACAAACAACATAAACAGAAAACTGGACCGAAAA